GTAGAGAGGATTAAACCACGCTGCTCCTTGGAGGCAAGAATTCTGGGGCTTCGTCTGACATACTTTGGACATGTTGTAAGGAGAGACAGGTCTTTGGAGAGGGATATCATGCTGGGTAGAGTGGACGGACAGCGCAGGAGGGGAAGACCCTCTATGAGGTGGACTGATTCAGTGACTGGGGTACTCGGGATGGGTTTGTCAGAGGCAATGAGATTGGCAAAGGATAGAGCACGGTTTAGGGCTGTTGTACATAGGGTTGCTATGAGTCGCAAATGACTCGATGGCACATAACAACAACAAAACAACATTAACAATAAATCGCAAATTATACATGGATATGATATCAGCACAACTAGATCTATAAAATCCAAAATCCAAAATATGAAAACAATTATCTTTAATTTTTTTAAATCAGTGCTTAAAGTGATGAAATACCAAAGCAAAATCCAGCTGAACCTAGGATCTACACATAAATAATGAAATCATAAAAATACTAGAAGAAAACATGGAAAGTTTAAAAAAATATCGGAAAGAAAAGCCTGTCTAAGTATGGCAAAAGATCAATAAATGTGACTTAAAATTCTATTATCTGACATAAAGTTCTGGTGGCTTAGTGGTATATAACTGCACTGACATTGCAAAGGTAAGCAGTTCTGATCTACCAGCTGCTCCATGGAAGAAAGGTAGCCAATCAACTCCTGTGTGATTAACTGTCTCTGAAAACCCACCGAAGGGTCAGCTATGGTCAGTTCTAACTTGACGGTACACAACAACATAGAATAAATAAATAAAACAAAAATAATTTAAAGATCAAAAAGGATGATATCCTATACTGATGGGATTATGGAGAAATAAGCACATTCACGCTATTACTAGTAGTTCTATAAAGTGATAGAACTTCAGTTGGAAGCAATCTGGTAATGGTTATCAAATTTTCAAATTCATATACCCTTTGACCTAGCAACTTTTCTTGCAGGAATTTTCTTATAGATACGTTAACAGTGGGCAAAATGACCATTCGAAAAGTATTTAAAAATCTACTAACAGGAGGCTGGTTAAATAAAACACAGTAAATGCATACACTGGAATTCTATGCAGTCATGAAAAATGAAAAGGCTCTAATAAATTTTTTAAGTGCTATAAGAGCAATGACGTTAGTCTGGAGACTAGGATGAGCACCTTTATCCAGGCCATAGTCTTCTCAATTGCTTGCTATGTGTCAGAAAGCTGGACAATGACTAGGGATAACAGAAAGAGAATTGATGCCTTTGAGCTGTGGTGCTGGAGAAGAGTGTTGAATATACCATTGACTGCTAGGAGTTGTAACAAACAAGTTCATCCTAGAGAAGGTGAAGTCAGGCTACTCCTTGGAGGCAAGGATTCTGAGGTTTCATCTGACATAATTTGGGCATGTTGCAAGGAGGAACTGGTCCTTGCAGAGGGACATCATGCTTGGAAGGGTGGAGGGACGGAGAAACAGAGGGAGACCATCAGTGTGATGGATTGATACAGTGACTGGGGTAATGAGGGTAGGTGTGTCAGGGACGGTAAAGTTGGCACAGGATAGAGCAGGTTTCAGGGCTATTGTACACAGGATCACTAGGTGCAAGCAACTCAATGGCACATAACAATAATAATAATCATATTATGATTTCTAAGACACATAGAGGAAGAAACCAATACGTTGAAGAGAGTTTATAGTGTATTGTTGTTGATTGCCTTCAAGTTGAACACAACTCATAGCGACCCTATAAAAGGCCTGGAGCCCCTCTACAACTATCGACATTTATCAAAGTTCATAGAGTTTCTGGAAGCAAGTTATTTAGGAAGTGGATGCCACTACTGCTTCCAAATCTGTCATAGAATGTTACTGGTTGAATCGCCTGCAATGGCATAGTGACCCTTTGTACAGCAGCTCTGAACCCTTCCCCGCCCTGAGCCAGTCTCACTAATTCTGACACACCAGACCCCTTTGCTCCAGTTACTATATCAATCCATCTCATCCGGGGTCTCCCCCTCCTGTGCTGACCGTCCACCCTTCCAAGCATGAGGTCCTTCTTCAAGGACCAATCTCTCCTGGCCACGTACCCAAAGTAAGTGAGGCGGGGCTTCAAAATCCTACCCTCCAAAGAGAGACTTGCTAGGGGGGAGGGTTGGGAAGGAAGAAGAGTGCAACTATGAATGAATGGAAATCCAAAATCTCTGTAAATTTTCATTGAAATTAATTAAAAAAAAAAAAGAGAGAGACAGAGAGAGACTTGGTTTCACCCTCTCCAAGGCAGAACTATTTGTTTTCTTGGCAGTCGTTGGTATGCTCAAGACTCTTCTCCAGCACAACTATCAATTCTTCCTCTGTCATTCTTAGTCATTGTCCAAATTTCTGAAGCACAACAAGTGACTAAGAAAACCATGGCCTGGATTAGGCGCACCTTTGTATCTAGACTGACACTGTTGCTCTTCAGCACTCTGAAGAGGTCCATGACAGCAGATTTTCCCAATGCATTTCATCTTTAGATTTCCTGACTGCTGGTATTAAGAGTGTTGATTGTGGATCCAAGCAAGCTGTAATTTCTTTTCTCTCTTTTTTTTTAACATTATAGAGATTTTACTTTTGCAAGCTGTCTTTTCTCAATCTATTACGGTGCTGCCAACTGGCCCCGTGGTGAGAATCTTTGTCTTCTTGATGTTGACCTTCAATCCAAATTGAAGACTACAGTATTACAGGGTCGTTATGAGTTAGAATTACCAGATGGCAGCATGGTTGGTCTTTTTGTTTTATTTTGTGAGAGAGATTTTTTGGGGGGACAGGGAAGACAGCTCTTTCCAAGAAGTCATCAAGCCATTGTTGTTGTTGTTAAGTGCCGTCGAGTCGCAGGCGACTCATAGCGACCCTATGAAGGAGAGTCCTCGATGCTCATCAAGCCATAGAGAACAATAATCAAGCTTCATAGATTTCTGTTCAGGCCTTTCAGTATCATATACACAGTAGACCTATTTGTTAATAGAACTGGATTCAAGCAGCATTTAGAAAAGCTATTCTGCTGTTGTGACTCTGATTTGCTATGAGACACAGTATCTTCCTCTTTACAAACCTTCTTTTGTTAGCTTGCTTTGAATATTAACAATTTAAAAGACTTATGTTCTTGTTTTACAAATATAATTTTTAATTTCTATTTTTCACTGTATAAAATTCACTTTTTAAATTGCACAATCCAGTGATGTTCAGTATATCAAGAGTCATACAACTCTTACCACTTACCTAACTCCAGAACATTTTCAACACCCAAAAATGAAATCCCATAATAGCAGACATACTCTATTTTCCTTTCACCATCTCCTGACAAACACTAATTTGTATTCTCTCTCTAATAGGTATGATATTAACAAAGCTTACAGTACTATTACCTATGATTTAAGTGCATCTTAAGTCCATTTTTCCCCTCAACACTAACAGACTTTCTTTATTTTAATATAACTAAATAGGAAAATGTGATTTAAAACAGAAACTTGCTAGGGTATCACTTCAAGATGCAAAATAAAAACTCTTACTAGGAAATCATCTTATATAACTACTTTTTTCAACTCTGGAACAATTTACTGAGCAATTTTTGTCTTGACAAGCTTTTTTATTGAAGTAATATATGCATACAGAATAGTGCACATATCACAAAGGTATAGCTTGATAAGTTGTAAAAATAAATACATAAATATAAGCCCCAGATTAAGAAATAAAAGACCACATGCCCCTACTTTCCGATCACCAGGCCCCACACAAATATCTTGATTTCTAACAACATAGATTAGTTTTTGTAGCCTTTGTACTTTCATAAAAGGAAATACGTAGCAGTATATAGTATGAAGATTAGAAATTTTTTTATCTTCCAGTTCTATGCCTTATAACACTCACCATAATCTTCTTGTAAAAAGCCATGACATTAACATCATCAAAGGGTAGAAATCCACACAGAAGTACATATAAGAGTATGCCCATGCTCCAAACATCTGCCTGAGAAGGAAAAAAATAACATCATTCAAAAAATCTTCAGAGCATATTCCAGAACAACAGTACCCTTAATAGAATCACAGGATTATCAGAGCTAGAAAAGAACTCAGAGATCATCCAATTCAATCTGCTCATTCTACAGATGAGGGACCCTGAAGTCCAGAAAGGAAGGCTTGTCCTTCCTCTCAGTGAGTCAGTGGGAGGACCCACACAGGTCTCCTGATTGCTGCACTCTTTGTACACTCGTCTCTAACTCTGTACTCACACTAGGACATGAAGTCATTTCCAGCTGGCTTAGCTGGCTTTGGCGTGATTAGGGACACGAGGCTAGGTCTCTGATTCTTTAAGACAATTCTATAGTGCAACTGGGAGTTTAGGTTACATATGAGGATTATGTAAACAAGCATGAGAATGTCAAAATAAGTCTCAAAATGCAATACTGATAATCTGTAAATATGACTAAGCTGCACTGTAAAATCCTCTCTGTATAGAAAAACCTTAATAAAGTTCAATGATTGACTTTTCAAATACAGAGGCTCAAAATTAGCCTGCCTGCACAAATAACCTTATAAATCTCAAAATCCCAGAAAAGAGTTTAACCTTTATATAGGATATCCATGTGTCCCAGGAGTCCTAGGCAGTAACTATTTATTCAAGCAGTATTTGGCCTTAGTCAATAATGCTATTACCATTAGCTGCAGGAAAGACCCAGGTCCTGCCCTCATCTGCCTTAGGAAAATAGTAACAGCTAAGAATGGCAGGTTGGTTTTTTTTAAAAAGGGAATAATTAAAAATAGCTTGAACAACATCACACAATTAGGTGATAACTATACTAGGTACAGAAGCTCTTGTAGGGTAGTGTAATTACACGTCGTGCTGCTAACCAAAAGGTTAATGGTTCAAATTCACTAGCCACTCCAAGGGAGGAAGAAGGGCCAGGGCCTCCCATAAAGAAACCCAATGGTGGGCTGGTAAGAGTCAGAATCAACCCAATACTTAAGTTCTGAGCCTATTTTTTCATATATATAAAAATAGAGTAAGAGTATTCACGCCACAGAGCTGAGGTTTGAGAAAGAAATCAAAATATCTAGGATGATCCTAGAACTGCCATCCCCTTTCCCTTATGAATCAGGGTGAAGTCTCTCTCAGGGAGGAGTGATAGGGAATGGCAAAGGACACACTGACAAAGGAGATTAAACAGAACTGGCTTTGACAAGCACTATGGCAATTGGACAATTAAAACAGACATTCGGAGGGCAGGGGAAAAAGAACAAACTGGGGAAGAGGTTAGAG